TGTTCAGTGTGCATTTGAAAAAAACTTCACCCTATATTAAAAAACAGTGGGAATTTGAAAAAGTTTATCATATACTAAAGAAATTTCAGAGTGTATTTTTTAAAATTACTTTTTTTAATCATATTTGTGAAAAATTGTTCAAAATTTCGAATTTAGTTACTTTTCGTGCTAGTTCTTGTTGGATTGCGCCGCTCTTTAGTTATTGAAAACCCATCAGCTTAAGTGGATCTCCACGCACGCGCCAAACCTGTAGGTACATCCTGTGTTCGATCCTCTCCCTCGCGTCTTTTGGGGACTTTTTTTCACATTTCCACCTATGTTGGGCCGGCTTAGTCAGGTAGCCTCTGCGTGAAAGCTCGACTATTGGATGCACGGGCGTCCAATAGACGCTCTCCGTGAGAAGGCCGACCACAGGCAGCGCACAACGACTCGGTATGGTCGGAGAGGAAGGATTTCCGTGATCATGGGCCTGTATTCCAGTCTCAATTCCTTTCCAAATTAGCAGGCCTGGATCCCAGTCCCATTTCCTTTTCAAATTTTCCAAATTTGCTTTTCAAATTTTATCACTTTTGTGGTTACAATGTTGGCTTTGTGGGGAGCACGGCGAAAGGCAGTTCATGAACAAATTTACCAAAGCCCTTTCTCCATTCATGGTTTTGTCCAATCATACATAGGAGAGTTGAGGGCCATCCATAAGCAGTCAGTTCAGTCCAATACTTCTACTGTTGTACCTCAAAATACCTGGATTTCTCCTCTTGCGGGTATGATTAAAATCAACGTTGATGCGGCAGTAGGCAGAGGGGGAAGGTATGGAGCAGTGGGTGCGATTTCTAGAGATAAGAATGGTCTTTTCCTCGGAGCTTCGGCCATGATCTTTCTGCATCTTTCAAATCCAGCTAGCCTAGAATGCATGGCGATACAAGAAGGACTGGCCCTTGTTGGTGATCTATACGAAAGGAGGATTCACTTGGCTTCAGACTGTAAAGTTGTGGTGGAGGACATCTGCCAGTGGCGGAGACAGGACCCAGGCCAGGGGGGGCTGGGCCTGGGGCGTCAAGAAAATTTCCTTCCTTGACTGAAGCATGTTGTGTACTGTTTGACACTGTAGCTAAATTGTGGCAAGCCTGGGGGCCGGGTCTTGGCCCAAATGTGGCTCGGCCCCTGACATCTGCAACAAGAATCCAACACCTTACAGTGCTATCATTCATGAAATATTAGATCATAGAAGTTTTTTTCGGTCTTTTAATATTAGCTATGAAGTTAGGAGCTCTAATATCGAGGCTCACAGACTTGCGAAGCACACTTTATCTCTATCGGCTGGCCGGCATGTGTGGCTGGGGCAGCCTGATGGACCTTCTTTCATCCGTGTAAACATGGTGACGGTTTGAATAAAAAGCTTCGGAGTTTGTCTCAAAAAAAAAGCAAGCCTGGATCCCGTTCTCAATTCCTTTCCAAATTAGGTTCCTTATTTTCTGTCACGTTGAGGAAGGCATGCATTGCTTTCATTATTATCTGGTCTCAGTTTTCCGTCTCAAATCCTTTGATTCAGCATGAACTGATTTTTCCTTAATATCCGATCTCAATTCCTTCTCAAAGCCTTTCCTTATTTCTGTCACTGCATGCTGCAAGCACGGTTGAAATCCTATATAAATTAGGAGTATTAATATAAGAATGCGAGGTGGGACTATTAAACTAGCACATAGGTTGCGAGTTCGATTTGCAGCACTCACAAATATTTTTGACCCGGCCTTTTACCCCTTATGTGGGTCGTCTTCGTTGGGCTTCGATTTGCATGGGCCGGTTTTGTTGCTGCACTCACAAATCTGTAATTAGCTCCCCATATCCCCCTTTCCTCATTTTCTCCACCCTTTTGACGGCATCCGACGAGTAGGAAGAGCAATTCTCCAGCACAAAAGTCGGCTGGGTGGCCAACCCAGCCGGCCGGATATGAGCGACGCAGCTTGCTCCTCCACCTCCAAGCCAGACGGAGCAAGTTGCCGCTTCAAGACAACTCTCGGAGGAGTGGTGAGTTGCCCCAGTCCGGCACGGGGCGGGGTGGGGGGGGGGAGGAGCACGGCAGCACGGGCATCGTCGCTGCCATGGACGATGCAGTGTTGTACCGCGCCCCCGTGCCTGCGAGCGCGCCATCCGCCGTCAAAACGCACGTTGACGCGCCCTGCCGCAGAGAAAGAAGCCGATTGTGCGGAGATCGAAGAGTCGGTGGCCAGCGCAACCGCATCCGCCGCCAACATCAAAGGAAAATAGAACACGGCAGGCGATGCCGCTTGGGTGCTAGGAAGGCCACCGCCAACGCGTCGCCGGCTTGTATAGCAGGTGACATGTCCGGTACTTTATCTCAAACCATCCTAGGCATCCGTCTGGGCTCCACGGAAGCACCCTTCCACTCCGGCTTAAGCACACTCTTTGCCACCCCGATGAGCGGCTCAGCCGGACATAGGGAAGATACGGGGAAAGAATATGCCTCGACTCCCGGCAGTGTGATGAGCGGGCTGCCAGGCATTGGGTAGACAAAGAGATCCGTTGCGGCCGGTGGTAGACTAGTGTAGTTTATCCGTGTCGTGGGAATGGAACTCCGCGCGACTGTAAGTGCAGATAGTTTTACCTTTTTAGTTAAAATAGAGTCAATTACACCACAGTGTCTAAACTTAGCGAGAAAAATTAGTTTGGTGCTAAAACTTGCAGCATACATTGAACCGGTGATAAAACTTGGCTTGGGTGTGCATCTACGGTGCTAATCATGCTTGTATACGTTACATGCTGCTGTTGTGGTGAGCCAGCATGGCACAGGGCCCACCCGTCAGTGACTGGGAGGAGTAGACGAGGCCGTTGGCATGTTTTTCTTTTTACAAAAACGCTATGAATTTCATTTTCTCACAAAAAGCCTCTCAAATTTTTCATTAAAAATTAAAACAACACTATAATCTGTATAACCATTGGGCCCCTGTCAGGATGCATTACGCGGAGGAAATTAATATGAAAAATAACACGCCAGGGAAGTTCGAACGGACGAGAAATGGCTCACTGGCAAACCAGGCTAGTCACCAGACCGTGAATAATTTGCCGTCGAAATTGGATAGCTAGTCCTAATGAACTATAGGCAAGCACGTACATAAGGCTTAAATGGCCGTCTGTCCCCACGCCCTATTTTTCAAATGTTAGTTTTTTCCTTTCTTAGAATTATGTTCTATTGTTCCTCAAAAAAATATTAAAAATAGAACTATGTTGTATTATGTAAATTATAAATAATTTAAATACAAAGGAAATATATTATTTAAAATAATCTTCATGTACTTTATAAAATATCTTACTTTAAATAATCTTTGTACGATTCTAATAAATGTTCTTATTTAAAATAATATTCGTGTAATTCTATAAATATAAACGATAATTTAAAAATGTTTACATACCTAAAGTAATATTTATATTTTTAATAATATATATTAATTATAATATTTTACATAAATTATGATTTTTTTTCATGATTCAGAAAAAAAACATTCATTTATTCATGTATTTTAATGCTATATACATATATTCACTTTGAGCGAAAAATTATCATTTAAAATATTATTTTTGTAATTCTAAAAATGGTTAATGTATTATTTGAATATATAAATATATACAACTAAAACAATAAATGTTAATTATAACAGTATTTTTCAATTTAGAAACAAACATGTGAAAAATGGGCCGTGGTAACTGCAGCAGTGCAGCCTAAGCCCCATGTACGGTTTCTCAAAAAAAAAAACAAGCCCATGTGCTTGTCTGCTCATAGGATATTATGGCTAGCATGCCAGTGTTGTTGGTTTGAGCTGGCTTGTTCGACCCATGGCTAACAAAAAAAGTTATATTAACTTTCTTCATACTGTTTCCTGACGGGTGGACCCCAAGGGTCATAGAGACAAAGATATGTTTCTGAGCTTTTTTTAGAAAAAGAAAAAAACAAGGGGTTTTTCCATGACAAAAAAGAATTTTGAGGTGTTTTCTGCAATAAAAACCAGGCCAAACTCCTTTGCCCCGTCTCCCATTCACTTACGAGTGGCCCCGCGCCATGCTGGTGTACCACGTCAGCATCATGTATCTATACAGATGTGATTAGCACTGTAGACGCACGCCCAAGCTAAGTTCTATCACTGGTTCAATGTATCCACAAGTTTTAGTACCAAATTGACTTTTCTCGTCAAGTTCGGACACCTGTGGTGTAATTGACTCTTAAAATATGTCCAAAATGTAAATGTTTTCGTCTTGTTTATATGAAGTCTGCTGTGTTTGCATGAATTTCATCCGGTTTGTTGCATAAGTGTTTGGAAATGTATCCGGGCAGCGTTGGATGACGGTCTCCCTCATCTATGTCCGCGACCCCCCCCCCTCCCTCTGTCCGTGGACGGATGCGAAAGGAAGTTTGTGGGTTGCCGTTGAAGATGTCCTTACTTGCCTCTAACCAACAAATTTGCCAAAGGTAATTTTGTCATAACTTGTATATAATTATGTGCCTTGGTAACCTTGCTAGGAACGGAGGGAGTAGATAGATAGATTGATTGGCTGCATGCATCTACGTATCCTTTACCATCAATTTGACACAGGAACTGGATGCACCTAGCTACATTTAGTTAGAGGTATCCTTTACCATCAATTTGATACTACGAGAACGCACACGTGCCTACATTAAATAACAACATATCCAAATTGTATACACATATATCTATTAAGAGATTGAAATCAACTACTCCATTGCAAACAATTAATTGGTCGCATCCACTCACTCATTACCAACAATTTGATATACAAGAGTTAGATGTGCCTACATTAAGTTAGAACATATCCAAATCATATATCTCTCAACTAATTAAAAGTAGTCCAATCAATCCATCTATGAGCAAAGGGAGTCTGAAAACTTGCACTATGGCTGCTATATATAGATGCTAGTGGTGCAGAAGTGCTGCATTAACACATACCGACAGTACTACACAACATAGAACATGACCAACGCTAAAGTAGCTGGAGTGTTAAGCCTTCTAGTCCTTGTGGCTATCTCTTCTTGTCCACGCCATGCACGAGTAGGCCATGCAGTAGATCACTGCCTCATTGTGTCGGTGTACTAGAATAGGGGTACCCTAGTATCCCGAACTTGTGCACGGGCAGTTGCAGCGCCCCGCGGCAAGGCTTGCTGGGCGACCGCCAAGGTCCTTCGTGGTTCCTTGGAGACATTCAAGAACAAAGTATTCAAGCCAAGGAGACAAGGCCCCGGCAAGAGGAGCTTGCTGGGAAGGCCAACAAAGGCATCTCAAGGAACTTGCCGTGACGCGCCACGCGTCCCGGCAAGGCCTGATGAGCGACAAGCTTCCGGGCGCGACAAGACAACGGCTGCGGCAAGGCGCTTGCCGCGGCAGGTTACTACTCTGCACCCGCGCTCCAGCGCATCCACCAACGTGTCGCCCTGGGGCCTTCCCAGGCGCGCGTGGCAAGAGGCTGAGCAGCCAGCGGTGCGAGGTGGCAAGCGACGCTGACAAGATTACCATCGTGGCGAACGGTGGCGTCCCTGACGGTCCTTTTCTGCACTGTTTGGGCGACGCAGACGGGCATTTAATGCCTTTGTCCCCTGCCGTCAGGGTTAGGTAGGATACATTGTACAGGTGGTTGTACCAACCACAACACCTTTCCATTTTTACCCTTGCCAACGTTGCCACCTGTCGGTGACCCCTTTAGCATATAAAAGGAGGCCCATGCGCAACATAGAAGGGGGGGGGGGGTTCGATTCGAAGCCAGAAAAACACACACGCTCGGTCTCGTTAGCAGCTAGAGTGTATTGTAGCGTTCAGCGCTCCCGAGCAAGAACTGAATACACTCGGACATGCAGCAGTAGGAGTATTATCTCTCCGGAGAGCTCCGAAGCTGGGTAAACCGCTCGTGTGCTTTGCCTCGATCTGCTCTTCGTGCGACCTTCGCCCCCCGCCGAACCGAAAGGGGCTCGGTCCGCCGGTCTCATAGGTGTTCGTGGATCAGCTTCCCCGACATCTTTGGCGCGCCAGGTAGGGGACGTCGAGATTGCGTGAACCTGATCCGGCATTCACACGAGCCAGATCTTCATTTTCTTCATCGACATGCCACCGAAGAAGAAAACTTCGGCGGCAGTTGCTCCGTCCACGTCACTTCCACCACCACCGGAGCAAACGGGTGGTGGGGTAGACGCAGGCGGAAGAACGGACGTCGACGAGGAAGCTCACGATGCTGCCAGGTCCAAGGACAAGGCTGCGCAGACCTCGGCGTCCGTACATGTACCGCGCCCATCTCAGGAGGCGCAGGACCGACAGCGTCATGGTATTCGCAGTACCATACGTTCGTTGGGACAAGATCGAGCTGGTGGATCTCGGGGTGCTCAAGACCAGCATGCACGCCAACGTGCTGGCATGAACGCGACACGGTCGCCTGGACGGGATACTGCCTCTTCTAACATAGTTAGAAGTCCGAGCATATCCCGCTCCTCGCACCGTTCGCCACTGCCGCCCACCACTCCAGCAGAAGCTTTGGCGCGAGCTCAACTGCTCCTGGATTACCCTCCAGCAGAAGACAAGATCGACCAATGGAGGGCCACCATTCAGAGTCTCATCGGCTTCGCCAACGGCGACACTCCGCGGTAGCCGAATACATCGCTGCCACGGCAGGACTGCCAGGCGCGAGCCGATGGCGACGAAACCGGTGGGGGTGCAACCACCATGCACTCTCCACCCCGAAGGCCAAGATCGCCGACTCGTCGGATCCACCTCGACAGCGACTCCACCGCATCATCAGATCCACGAGCTCGTCGCGATCAGCGCCAAGTTCTTCACGAATGACAGCAAGAAGACGCTCGTACTCGCATCGAGCGTCGAAGAGAAGCGCGACGTAAATCCGACAAGCGCGCTGGGCCCTCTGTTGACATGCATGCGCCAGGGGAACCAGGCGACTTGCCGTACGCGGTAGGTTGCCCTGCGTTCACTCGTGAGCTGCGGCAAGTCAAGTGGCCCAGCATGAAGAATTCCAAGCAGATACACCAGCCAACTCAAGCTCTCCAGACGATCCCTTTATCCTGGCCATTTTCGGTCTGGGGGCTCGACATCCTCGGCCCTTTTCCCCGAGCTATCGGGGGCTTTGAATACTTGTACGTTGCAATCGACAAGTTCACAAAGTGGCCGGAAGTGGAAGCAGTGAGGAAGGTGACAGCACAGTCAGCAGTCAAGTTCTTCAGGTCGATTGTTTGCCGTTTCGGGATCCCTAACAGGATCATCACCGACAACGGCACGCAATTCACGAGCCGCACCTTCATGCAGTACGTCCAAGATCTTGGCGCCAAGGTCTGCTTCGCTTCTGTTGCTCATCCGAGAAGCAACGGTCAAGCGGAGAGGGCGAATGCTGAAGTGCTGCGCGGGCTCAAGACCAGAACTTTCGACAGGATGCGCAAGTGCGGAAAGAACTGGATTGAGGAGCTACCGGTGGTTCTTTGGTCGATCAGGACGACGCCAAATCGAGCCACTGGCCAAACACCTTTTGCTCTAGTCTATGGAGCAGAGGCAGTTCTCCCCACGGAACTCGTATACGGGTCACCTCGAGTGCTCGCTTATGATGAGCTTGAGCAAGAGCAGCTGCGACAAGATGACGTGCTGCTCCTTGAGGAAGACCGTCTTCAGACTGCTGTACGAGCTGCTCGATACCAGCAAGCTTTGTGCCGCTACCATAGCCGCAAAGTTAATCCCAGAAGTCTCGAGGAAGGCGACCTTGTTCTTCGGCGCGTTCAGTCCGCCAAGAATTCCAACAAGTTGACGCCGAAGTGGGAAGGCCCTTATCGGGTGAAACGAGTCACTAGGCCTGGCGCTGTCCGCCTTGAGACCGAAGATGGCATTCCGATGAGCAACTCCTGGAACATTGAGCATCTTCATAAGTATTACCCATAGGGCGTGGTTGCCGGAACCTGTTCCGGCAACCACCTTTTGTACAAGTCTTGCCGATGTTGCATGTAATCCTTTGTACAAAGCCGGACGCAGACCCCGTGCATAAATAAAGCTCATGTGCTCCGCACATCTTGTCAATTTCATGCTTTCTACTTTATATTTGCATGCGTTATCTGACACTTTGTGCAGCACCTACCCCCGGTAAGCAATAACGAGCCATAAGGCTCCATATCTTTATTTTCTCTTCTTTCTTTTTCTCAAAAAGGAAACGAAGGTTCCCTCGCCCACAAGTTTGTCGGGGGCTCCTGGCGCGGAAAGGAGAAGATAATGGTGTGGACCGAGCATCATTCAAGGAAGTTTCGTCTTACCGGGAAGCAAACGACAGAAAAGCTAAGTTGCCAAAGTTTGAGCAATCAGTTTTAAATTTTTAAGTTATCTTCCTCGAACGACCGTGCTTTGTATGGAAAACCTGTGCGCGGAGGAACCAACTCGTAGCTAGTTGCGCCCTTAGTTTGTTTCGAGTCCGCTCAACAACTTAAGTGAGCTGCGACTAGTTGCGACAAGGTTTCTTGTCGGAAGCAGCACCGCCAGCAGGCTGCTGACGTCCCGCACTCATCGCTCGCGGCCCAGGTGCCTGCACCGACAAGTTCCCTAAAAGTGTAGGGCAAAAACATCCAAAGAAAGGGATCAAGTAAAGGAAATAACATAGCAATCTCTACCCAAAATAGAGTTATATTACAAGATAACTTGTCGCAGCTCTAACAGATTGTTCTCATGACATGACCAGTAGCGACAAAGAGAAAGAGGGAGGGGGGCGGACGTTTCGCCCTTCCGAATAAAGAAACCACCCACGATCTCTCCCACGATGCCGCATTCAACGCGTGTCGTTCGGGGAGGGCGCGGTGGATACGGAGTAAGATACGGCGTGACCCAGGCCGCGCGTGCCCGTGCCCTATTTTTGGGCCTGGCCCAACAGCGCTCGGCACCGTGTGTGGCCCAGGCCCGGGGGCTCCTGTCGGTGTACTAGAGTAGGGGTACCCTAGTATCCCGAACTTGTGCACGGGCAGTTGCAGCGCCCCGCGGCAAGGCTTGCCGGGCGACCGCTAAGGTCCTCCATGGTTCCCTTGGAGCCATTCAAGAACAAAGTATTTAAGCCAAGGAGACAAGGCCCCGGCAAAAGGAGCTTGCCGGGAAGGCCAACCAAGGCATCTCAAGGAACTTGCCGTGACGCGCCACGCGTCCCGGCAAGGCCTGGTGAGCGACAAGCTTCCGGGCGCGACAAGACAACGGCCGCGGCAAGGCGCTTGCCGCGGCAGGTTACCACTCTGCACCCGCGCTCCAGCGCATCCACCAACATGTCGCCCTGGGGCCTTCCCAGGCGCGTGTGGCAAGAGGCTGAGCAGCCAGCGGTGCGAGGTGGCAAGCGACGCTGACAAGATTACCATCGTGGCGAACGGTGGCGTTCCTGACGGTCCTTTTCTGCACTGTTTGGGCGACGCAGACGGGCATTTAATGCCTTTGTCCTCTGCTGTCAGGGTTAGGTAAGATACACTGTACAGGTGGTTGTACCAACCGCAACACCTTTCCATTTTTACCCTTGCCTACGTTGCCACCTGTCGGTGACCCCTTTAGCATATAAAAGGAGGCCCATGCGCAACATAGAAGGGGGGGTTCGATTCGAAGCCAGAAAAAAACACACGCTCGGTCTCGTTAGCAGCTAGAGTGTACTGTAGCGTTCAGCGCTCCCGAGCAAAAACTGAATACACTCAGACATGCAGCAGTAGGAGTATTATCTCTCCGGAGAGCTCCGAAGCTGGGTAAACCGCTCGTGTGCTTCGCCTCGATCTGCTCTTCGTGCGACCTCCGCCCCCCGCCGAACCGAAAGGGGCTCGGTCCGCCGGTCCCATAGGTGTTCGTGGATCAGCTTCCCCGACACATTGATAAAAAGAAGGTGATGCGGGACTGTTGGCATAACATCGAAAAGAACTTTGGTGACCCGTTCCCGTCACACGGGAGCCTATGTTGTGATACAATAAGAGATTCGAAAGACATCCACTGCGTCTGTGATCGGTTCACCGCTCACGAACTGACTGTGATCAGTCTATCCAAGTTTGCTACGGTTACACATAAATGCGGCAACGGGTTGCACACACACACTCATTGTGCAGGTTGGTATATTGTCATATTTGTACACACACACAGAGAGAGAGAGATGTTGATATATGTGCACACTTTTTTATAATTGCTCATGTTCATCATTATGATGCAAAAAATGAAAATTTTGCAGGTTACCGTGTTCCCATCACAACGCTGCCACCTCCACCACCAGAAGGTGCCTAGACCTTCAATGTAAGACCATTCTTGTAATGGAGAAATAATTGAATAAAGCAAAGAATGATTCGAGATGAATGCCCTTGAGATTTGCTGTTGGCAGGCGCTTGGTGTAAACTGCCAGTGGTTGATTGCAATAAGACTGACGCACCCTTGATGCAAATCGTTAGTGGTGGATAGTATTACCACCGACGGACTATATTTTTGGCCCTTTATTGGTGTTGTCTTTTAGTGGTAACATTTCACCACTCAACGGCTGCATATTGTGCTTGGCAGCGGTCACCCTTTTTATTGAATCTTGTGCATTCTCCGACTTTTCAACATTGACGGTTCCGATTAGTTGTAAGTACTATATCACTGACGGGTTTTCCATGCCTGTCCGTGGAGACCGATCAGCGGATGGGCAGTGTGTCCTAATGGGTGATACATTGAAATAGGGTAAGAAGAATCACATAGAGGAGAAAGAACTGATGGATATCAATTGCCGTTCTGATGATGCCATATTAAATGAGCAAGGTTCATTCATGTGCCAAATTTTTATTTAGTAAGTTAACATATTTTTTCGTGCCTAAATATACAACCACTAATGGACACTGTTCTCGCTCTTGCAGCGTGCTCTAGCAACATGGGCAGCAGTGTACGTATTTTCTCGTGTATTGAAAGCCAAGCTCTGTTTGATTACACCACAAACGATTTCATGACCTGTATACTTTTTTTCCAAGAGATTGTACTCTGCTGATATTTTTCTAACTATCGAGTGCTGGATATTTTAAGAGTTAAAACACTGGAGGTGCCTCAACTTGTCATGCGCGGTTAGTTTAGTGCCTAAAGTTGCAAAATACACTAAATTGATGCTCAAACTTGTCTAGTTGTGCAAATATGGTACCTCCATCCGTATCTGGACATATGTCTAGCCCGTGTGGCATGCCAATGTAGCAGTGACCCACTTGTAAGTGGCTGAGAGTGGGAATGCACTAGGTGGCCGGCGCGTGAGGAGTTTTTTAGAAAACCCCCATGTTTTATTTAATCACGTATGAAAACGTGAAAAATTAGTGAAAAAACTGCGTGAGGCAGGATTGATAGTGAGACCTTGTGATAGCAGATTGTACTGCACTCCCAGGTTGTCCACGAGAACATACTCTACTCTCTAAAATTAACGAGGTCGAACTATATATATTACATTGCTATGCGAAAGGTAGCATTAAAGCACATGCACATTGTGTCGCTTCTTTTTGAAGTTCAAAGAAACGGATTTTTACAGCTAAAAAAATCTGATTTTTTTTTTTGCGCAAGCACACACAAAAGTGTAATATATCAGTATGAATTTTCCTCAAAATCTGTGTTTGTATGTGAGCTAAAAAGACAAATACATGCATAAATCAGCTTGTTTTTTTTTGTTTGGATTTCTGTATTTTTTGCAGGGTATAATATACTCCCTCCGTAAACTAATATAAGAGCGTTTAGATCACTATTTTAGTGATCTAAACGCTCTTATATTAGTTTACAGAGGGAGTATCATAATTTTGAACAAAATTTGAATGTCATTTAGAGCACATGCATACGTTTTCATGTGACAACAATCAACTTTTTGTGAAAATTTTAAGTTCCAGTTTTTAGCCTTTCGAAAAAAAGGTGCTAAGGGGCCACTGTGCTCCAAAAATCCACATCAGTTGCTATGTACCTCTTGAAGAGATTTTTATTTATATATGGCGCTTCTATGAGTCCGCACAATTTTTATTTTTTATTTTTTCAAGTTATTTTTTAATTTCCATATTAGTTTTAGCATTAAAAAAAGAAATGTACTCCCTCTGATCCAAATTAATTGACATTGGTTTAGTACAAAGTTGTAATAACTCTGTACTAAACTAGCATCAATTAATATGGATCCGATGGAGTAATAACAAACTAAACTGCCATATATTTAAATAAAGTTTTAGTGCATTTGAAAAAAGTTCAATGTGTATTCAAAATTTATTCTGTAACATGTTAAATAATTGTATTAAAATTTCAACACAACACTTTTTAATACATGTTGAATTGTTTAAAAATACTATGATGTCAATTTTTTAATAATTGGATATTTTAGAAATACAATGAGGATAAACAATGATTGTCTGAGTGCTTCTTTTCCAGAATGAACATACATAAATTGATAAAATAATTTCTAATATAGGTTCAACTATTTAAAGCGCCATAAAATTTGAAAAAGATCATGCCTACCTCTTCAAACTACACAAAAATGGAAAAAATGAGGAATAATTGCATGTTGTATTTTTTGTATGGGAAAAAATACGTGTGATGAAACAAAACAAGAAATTGGAAAAATAAAAATAAAACTGATAGATAATGCATTAGGGAAATTGCAGAGCGATACGTGAAAAGTGTCTAGATAGCTTTTAAGCTAAGCGTTGTGCGCGTGACATATTTCAGCCGGTTAACCAGATGGTGCGGTAGTTATCCCGAAGGAGCTAGGTTGAGTTTTTTCTTCTCATTTTAGTTCTCACTACCATATGTTGTATTTGAGGTCCTATTTTACGTGATTAAATAAAATATAAGGGGGGTTTCTGCAAAATAAATCATCACCCGTGGAGCACCCAGCATGTTCGCACTCTTAGCCACTGATAGGTAGGCCATCGCCACACTAACATGCCACGAGGCTGGAGGTACGTGTGCGTACAGATAGAGGCACCCGTATTTGCATAATCGGACAAGTTCAAGCACCAGTTTCGTGTATTTTGTAATTTTAGGCACTAAACTGGCCATGCAGGACAGGTTGAGGCACCTCCTGTGTATTTAGCTCATATTTTAAGCAGTCACTCTCTAAAAAATTTGATACAACACAAACAACCTCTGTAAAAAATCATCATACACATATACGTCGGCGAGGGCGTCTACGTTTGTATGTACACCTCCATGGACAGGCGCGCGGCAGCCGATTGATTAACACGACCGGTCATACGTGTGCCGCCGTGCTGCTCTGGGCGGCTTGCCGCCCGACGCCATTAACCGGAGTCCATACAAATTCCCGGCTGGCCGAACGGCCTTCTGCGGGCACGCGGCGTCGTCTATCCGGAAACGGTACGTCGACCGCGACCGCCTCGGCGATGCCGTGAGCGGCAGGGCGCGCGCGCAACAAGACATGCATCGTCTTTACGCTTCGGACAGTGACCTTTACTTACCTGTTATTATTCCCCGGTGACCCATCCGCCCGCCCCTGAAAATCTATGCGCCGTACGTGTGTCACCCTCCGAAAAAAGATTTTAAATCCGGGCGTGCACGTACGCCGTTCATATGTGCATCGACGTCGAGATGTCCATTGAGACCTGTCCATCCATGTACAGCACAGTACGTGGTGCCACCATCAGGCAGCAATGGCGTGCAATGACCATGGATGCATGCATGTACAGGCGTAAACAGTGGAGCGATGCCCTGGTCGCCGGGGCACGGGGAAGTAGACCCTCCAGCCCACCACCGCCGCACGCTGTCGTGCGCGACATTCCCTCCGTTTGAAGCTACGATCGGCCTCCGATTCGACGGTGCGGTGCAGTACGCCGTCAAAATTCTCTGACCGCTTGCCGCACTCTGGCGCGGGCTATAAAAACGCCACCCCGCTCGTCTATTGGCAAGCCACGCCCGCTTTGTTCCGTCCATAGCTCAGTCAAGCTCAAGCCGTGCGTGTGGCTTGCAGGAGCTAGCTGTGGCTGAGAACTTCGCACGTCCAGAGAGGGACTGAGGAGGGAGGTCGACGATGGCGAGCAGTATCCAGAGGGCGTCGTTCCTGCTCCAGGTCGTCCGGAGCTCGTCCCGCTCCCGCAAGAGGGAGGGCGTCTTCTCCGAGGCCGCGCCCTGGCAGCAGCCAATCTCCGGCTCCGGCAGGGTGCCCCAGCCACGGACGCCGGCGAAGCTGGACACCATCGTCGAGGAAGAGTACAACTCCACCATTATGACGAACGACCCCGGTTTCCTGGTCGGGGTCTCTTCTTCGTCGTCGTCAACGTCGGCCTCAACGTCGGCGCCATCGTTAATGGCCGCGGCCGGGGTCCCCAGGGCCTACCGTTTCGCCGCTACCGCCACCGGCGCGCAGCAGACGCGTTGTTAATCGATCGACGTCGTCGGTTTTTAAGGCGAGCGTGGACGGTATATTTTTGCGAAATTAACCTCGTTTATAAATTGCGAGGACCATAATAATCAACCGAGACTAGCTACACGTATCGTGATGCTTTATGTATCATGTATACTTGACGAATTAAGTGTTCTATATGCATGTTTCCCGCGTTTATACGTGGATGTAAAACGTAGTACTGCTATTTACGTTAAGGAGGACAAAGATCGGAGATTCTGATACTCTATGTATCATGCATGTACTGTAATGAAAAAGTGGCACGAGGTCTGTTTTTCGACTTCTATGCAAATAAGACACAAACTTATGTACCCAATGGAACAACTACCCAAGGATAGTGGGAGAGGATTTGTGGCACGCAGGGGTGGGAACATGCAGATTTCTGACCGTCCAATTGACTTGCGTTTTGAAAATTGATTTGGCCCTTAATTACCTTAGATACGATCGATGTGTGCAGCTTTTGATAGCTTCACCCCCCCATCTTCAGTGTTTTTTCTTTGGACTTTCAACTTTGAATTACTATTTTTTTAACTGAAAATCTAATTTATGTTTCTTTTGCATATTCATGTTGCTTGCGACCAGGTCTTTGAAAGATTCAGAAACCATTCATGAATACGTCATGACGCATGACGCTGGCTTCCAAGACGGGGTCTGTTCTTGCGTAGTTGTTGTCAAAATCGGCTTTAGCGCTCGTCCATGGCCGTGGCCGGGGTCCCCAGAGCTTGCTGTTTCACCGCTCCGGTCATTGGCGCGCGGCGCGCACCACAGACATGTTGTTGACCGATCGATCGATGTTGTTTTTTTTTCATCGAAAGGGGATTTTATTCAAGAAATAATGGTTCGGTTACAATCTGCCCATAGGCTACTAAGAAGGAAGTCTGGACTACGATCAATCCAACTATCAGTACCCTCAAGCATACGGGCACGCTGAGCACATAGATGAGCCAGAAAGTTTTGCTCCCTCCCAATGTGACAAACCAGAAACGACGTATAACTTGACACGATATCCTCCACTTCATTTAAGATAGGCGCTGCTACCGAACGAGAGATGCAGCATGAATTCCATAGTTGACAAGCTCCAAGCAATCAACCTCCATTATCACATGTGAGTACCCACGCAGTTGTGCAAAGATCACCCATTCGCGGAGAGCTAAAAGCTCAGCAACAAAAGGATCAGACACTCCTGGTAGGGGCTTACTCCATGCTCCAAGGAACGCTTGATGAAACCGAGCCACACCACCAGCTCCACGTGTCATGGAATCAGAAAGATTGACGTTGTTGGGTACTTGGTATATGAGGCGTGGGGGGACCGTATAATTTTACAAAATTAAAGAGGATACTATACATACATCCTTTGAACCTCGTTTATATGTTGCGAGGGCCATAATAATCAATCGACATTAGCTACGTACGTGATACTTTATGTATCATGTATACATAACGAATACCGAAAAAGGCTTTCGTCCCGCTTTATATACAAAGCAAACCACCACAACCACAAGGTTCAACAAAGGTACACACAGGATAGCACAACACAAGGTACGAGAGGGTACTGATGAGGGCACAGGCGGTAGCATCACAAGATACCTAATGAATTAAGCATTCTATGCATGTTTCCCGCGTTTAGACGTGGATGTAAAACATATTTATGTGAAGTAGGACAACAAAGATCTATATGTGATGCTTCACATATCATGCATGTATAATGAACAAAGTGGCATGAGGTCCCTTTTTCTAGTTCTCGTGGATGGGGGTGTCTCTATTCTATAATATGCTCGTGATACTAAACTTTTCATTGAGTATGATATGGCAAAAGTGAGAAATATGAGGCTGGTGTTGTGTCTCTTTGAATAATTGTTTGGTTTGTAAATGAATTTCTATAAAAATGAATTGTTCTGCTTTGTATTGTTCTGCTTTGGATGCGCTTATGTCTGATGGGGTTAGGCCCATATTTTTTTGAGTGTGCTTACGGGTAGGCTGATGTTCATGCTCTCTTTCTTTCAAATACCCGACGGGGTACGAAAAAGATTGTACTTTTATAATCGTGGTTCTTTTGGCAAAGTGATGAGAATAAAACAAAATACAAGATAGCTAAGTGGGACATATTGTGTAGGCCAAAAGACCAAGAGGGTTTGGGCATTGAGAATTTAGAGGTTAAAAATAAATGTCTGTTTAGCAAATGGTTATATCGGTTACCCTCTAAGGAAGAGGGGTGCGGATACAGTTATTCCATAAAAAATATCTACACTCCAAGACTTTAGCGCAAGTAACGATATAGCCGAATTATTTACCCTTTTGGAAGGGCTTGATAAGAACTAAGGTCGCCTTCTTTAATATGGGTAAATTTATTATTGGGAATGAGCGCACAACTAGATTCCGCGAGGATACTTGGCTGAAGAGAAGCCTCTAGCCTTACAATATCCAACGCTTTATAATATTGTACAACATAATGATGCATTTTTTTAGTATAATATTAGGTACGGTTCTCCTAAATATACAGTTCAGGTGTGCGCTGGTTGGGGAAAGGTGTGACAGTGGCTGCATGTTTGTGACATCCTGGTTTTTTCTTTTTTTTTCTTTTTCTGGATTTCATTGCCATTTGATTTGAATTTGGAGCTTTGAATCAACTCAGTTGGACTTAATCACTTGGGCATGTCCTTGATTTTCACCCAAGTGACTCACCTCTCTCTCTAACACATCATTTCCTCTCTGGTATATCCCAAAATGGCCATAGGAATATTTTTCATAAATGAAAAATATCCATTTCTTCTCTGAAAACCACTTCAGTCACATATGCTCCAAAACAACCCTCATTTTTCTTACCCACAAAAATCTGAGAAAATCCCTGAATATTCTTTGTACCTTGGCACACCTCCCTGTGCAAAAATATTTCATAGTTATTTGGAATATTTTTGCTACAGAAAATCTTTTCTATTCTGACCAGAAAATGCACTTTACAAAGGAAGTTTATTTTTCCTTGATCCAATGAAGCTGAAATTTTTAGGGCTTCATTACCCTCCTAAGAAACTCTTAACCTCCAAAGATCAGCCCTAAACTCCTTCTAGATTTCTCCCATTTACCCTCACAAGCTTCTGTCCAGAAACTTGCCAAGATGCTAGAATCACGCACAGTTGACCTGTGATCAACTCAAGACCTTGGATCAACCCAAACCATCAAGGACTACACGCCACACATGATTTTAATGCGCGGCGTGGCACTATGCCAAAGTTGATGTGGTGACCATGCGTGTGCACGATGCCAGGTTGCTAATCGACGCGCTCTGGATCCCGCCGTGGACTCTGTAGCGCGCGTGCTCGCTTCCCCGCTTGCCGCACCTTGCCAAACCTCGCCACCATCATCGTCTCGACGCCCTTAACTTCACCCCGACGCTCGTGCCCAAGTGTACAGTGCGCCCGTGCCCCTGTTCTCGTTGCCACCCGAGCCATGTGCTCGTCTCCGCTCGCCCGCAGTGGCCACGTGAGCCATGTCTTCTTCTCCCCCTCTCACTGAAACTTCTCGTCGCCGGGCACCGTCTCCAGGGAACTCCGACGAAGCCTGAGTCCCCCTCCTCCCTCGCCTATAAAGACAGCCCCTCCCCGGCCTCCCAAAGCATTGCAGCACACGCACACAACCACCAGGACACCGTAGATAGTCGCAGCCCGGCCGGGCAGGCCTCTGGCCGCCATTCCTGACCGGAGTTTGCCGGTAATCCCCTCTGTTGCCTCCCACCCCTCCAGAGCCTCTCGAGCTCAACTGACCACTCTGGCGCGTTCGTAGTGACCCAATGGAGCTACGCGACCCCGCTGAAGCCCCTGGAGTCGCTTCAGCTCGCCGTCTTCTTCCTATCCGACGAACCCCGACCCCAGCCGCCGCCGGAGACAAAGATTCCGAGCAACTCCAGCCACCTCTCGTCGTGTTTCAGGTACGTGTAGACTCGGCGTGGTCTTGCGCATCCATTCCTCCCTCTCTGATCGGCGGTCGGCCTCTCCTCGTCGGAGAAACGCCGGTGCATCGCCGCCCCTCCTCTGCTTCCCTCTCTCTCTCTAAACCTGATCGCGCGAGCCCACTGTCAGCCTCTCAGCCACGCCCGAAGCGGTATGAGTGGTGGTGCCCCACTGGTTACGTCTTTGACGTCACCCCCCTGTTTTCTTTTTATTTGAATTTAATTCAAATTTTGACAAGAAACTTTGACCGGCCATAAATTTTAACCATAAGTCCAAATGAATTGATTCTTTTTGCATTGTGTTTGCCTTGGAATTCTCTAGCAGCACACAAAATTTGAGATTTTTCTCTATTGTCTAGAATTTCTGGTGAATTTCAGAAGTGTTCTTGATGTTTTATTTTTGTTGTTTTATTTATTTTTAGAAGGAGAAGCTTCCCTAGAGGGAAACCAGGAGGAGTCTGACCCTCCTCTGTGCTAGGCAAGCCACACAAATATTTGCATGGTGTCATTTCAATATTTATGTTTTTCCAACTTGAATATGAGTTATTTCATGCATTTAATCATTTAAATGGATAATGTTTATGCTAGTTTACTTGTTCATGATTGAAGTGCTTAGTTTACAATAGTGTTTGAATGCATGGACTAGTATGAGGCAGTAGAAGTATTTTTGGTAGTATGGCTATGCATTGGTTATGATCGATATCATTTTTCATATATGAGTTATTGATTTTAATATGTTAAAGGCATAACCAAAAATGATGAGATAAAAACCCAGTGAAGTTGAAACCAGTGATTTAAAGTGATTAGTAGTGCAAGTAGAATGATTCTATGATGTTGATCTGTTTACCTTAGTGTTATGTGGATATAGTGCATGTCAGATAGTTGCATTTTCATGGCATACTATGACTCGAAGTTCTTCCCTTTCAAGTTAAACCTGATGATATATTCAACTTGGACATAATGTTGATCGGGTCATGGTGCCACTGAATCAAGCTTCCCAGTGCAACCACATCTGCCTTTATGGGAAGGCCTTTAT